TTACTTCCTGAATTTTGTTCTGTGAAGAACCCAGAGAGGGTTATTTGATTGTGCTTTCTGGAAAACAATAAATTTTTACGTTTAGGCACTCCTGCAATCGTCACACTTTTTCTGTTACAAACTGACTCCGGCCCTCCACCAGAGAAGGGAAAAGTTATGTGGCCCTCACAGGAAAAAGTTTGGGGACCCCTGCCCTAAAGTGTAGCTTCTGCATCATTTCAATACATTGCATACATTCTTTACTTACTCTGCTCAACCTGTTTTGTATTTGTAATTATTTTTCTAACATGTGTTTTTTTGTCTTTCAGATACACCTGGACCTATACCTGGACCTACCATTCTATGTTCGTCTGTCTCTCCTTCCTGTCCTCTTAAACCAGCCGGTCAAAGCAGATGGCCGCTTGTCCTGAGCCTGGTTCTGCTGGAGGTTTCTTCCTTTTAAAAGGGAGTTTTTCCTTTCCACTGTTGCCACTGTGCTTGCTCAGGATGGGAGACTGCAACGAAGCCAAGATTCAACTTGTCTGATGGATTCCTTAGATAGAGAACTTTACTAATTGGCTTTTATGTGAATGTTCCTGTAAAGTGCCCTGAGACAACTTTGTTGTGATTTGGCGCTATGTAAATAAACTGAATTGAAATCCAGTGATTTTTTTCTTTGTTTCTCGACTGTAACTTTTGTAGTGAACCAGATGACCTGATGATCTGACCCTCATCTGACCCTGATGACCTCAAATCTACCAGATGGACAGAGACTGTTATTTTCATTGATCTGAATAAGTCTGAGCCATCTGATGACTTTCTTTCTTGAATTAATCAAGCAGAAAAGACAATTCTTTATAATCATTACTGTCTTACAAATGTTTTGATAATCAAATTGTGTTAGTTTCACTCAATGCTTACAGGTTGAAAAGAACTACTCATTTTTATTTTACATAAACAGTAAGTAATGATTTTTATTCCTCATTCAAAGAAGAAATCACCTGAATATGCATTTCTTGATTTTCTGTCTGAAATGAGCCAAGTCGTAAGTGTGTGAAAGTTGAAGCTTCGGTCAACTAAATGTTTACTGAAGAAGAAATGTCATGTTTAACTATTGGAGAAGATAATCAGAATAGAGGCTCCAAAAAGTCTGGTATTTTGCAATAATCTTTTCTGTAAGTTGAAAACAATTTCATTCTCTGACCTTGGCTTAGATAACATCTTACGTCACAAAACCACTCCTCTTTCTGGTCCATCCACGAATCAGAAAGCTCTGAAGTAAACTCGGAAGTAAACTCATTTAAAATGTGACAACTTCCCGGTTCTGGTAGAGTGCAGAGATTCCATGGAGTGCTGTAGATTCTAGGAGAGTGCAGTAGATTCCATGGAGTGCAGTTAGTTCTCAAGGAGTTCTGAAGAGAATTCATGGGAATTCAGAGAACTAGAGTTATGGAGAGTTTTGGAGTTAGAGTCTGAGAAGATCTGAAAGAGTCTGAGAGCTGCTGACAATGAAGAGTCAGAGTTGCCGAGAATCCAGAGACGTTTTGGGATTATAATTCTGTTTTGAGCTAACCATGCACGACTCTCCAAGGATTTTAGCTGTTCTCAACGGAGACGCTGATATCAGTCTGAAGGTTCTTACTGAGGTGATCTATCGTCAACAAGGTAACGGTTTCTTCTTCGACTAAAGTGTACCTGGGATAAGCTGAGATACCTGATGGGAGCGTGCAATTTCTGGTCAAACAGATTAAATTCCCTCACATATTCCTCTGTAAGATAAATCTCAATTTCCTCTTAAACTCACCTCTCTCTCATAAATCAGTACAGATATTTTTAGAAATATCTGAAGCAAAGTCCTCAAATCACCGCCGAGTGATTTGAAGTTCATTATTTGTGGAACTGTCTGTTATTGTTTTCATATTTTGCCAAATTAATGTAAATGTTTGATGTTAAACTTTGATTCTGAAAATAAATGACTCCATTCATTTGATGGGTCAAAGATAATAACGTCTCTCGTTCGCATTTCTGTTAAATTCAATACACGACATTACACAGTCAGAAAAATGAAGAACTCGTGAATATTGTATGCATATATATTTCATATATTTGTCATACAACAAGTGACACGTACCCACGTGACTCACTACACTTTTATAAATATTTTGCTCTTCCACATATTTTCTTAACATGATGGCATAGTTGGTGTGTGTTTTGACGTACTATCAGCAGGGCCTCCAACTGGCTGAGGTAGGTCTCCTCACTGGCCAGGATCCCTGACAGAACCCACTTCCTCATCTCCAGTCCCTTCTCCTGGTCCAGCTCCACCTGAGAAACACAGGAGAAGAAAAACATCACAAACATAAAACGATTGCCTTCTCCAACGCACAGGGCTCATGACGACAACATGGCATGTCAACCAGCTGAGCTGAAACCTCTGGCTGCAGGCACAGCTGTTGAGACGTTTAGGAAGATTAGATTTGATGAAACTCTGTGGAGTTTTACATTCCAAGAGGCCCACACCAGATACTCCTAACAGCTTAAAATAAAAGATAAATATGTTTCTAGTTCAGGGGTTGTTGTGTTGAACAAGTCAAAGACATCAGTCATCTTAGTTGGAACAATCACGTCAGTAAAAAGCTGTTTTTAAAAGTTTGAGACCAGTAAGAAGCTGCATGCTGAGCCCACCACCCTCCTCCTGCTCTATGACTTCAGATCATATCAAAGTAGAAGGAGAGTGCAGATAGAACAGAGAAACGGGGGAGGGGTGCTACGACTCCTTTTAACATCTGTTTGACTGCAGTATGTTTGCTGACTCCGTATAGTCTTTGTGCAGCAACGCCCTGCTTCACCCTGACAAGTATTCCCATCTGGGAGCTGAACAGCGCTCTGCAGTTTACTGCTGGTCTGTGGGTGCCCCGGCCAGGGCCGCTCTTTGAACAGCACCCATCTTTTTCATAAAGTCAGAGTCAGAGTTTCTTTATTTGTCATTCGCATCTCATGTGGTACATGTGGTGGAATGAGATTATGTACACAGGGTCCCACTTACATCCAACAATAAAATGTAAAAGAAAAACAGTAATAAGATCTAAGATCTGAACTAAGAAAAACATCAGCTAAATATACAATAAGCACTAGTAGCATAAAAACATTACGTCGAACAGCAGCACGAACATGAGTCTGTGTGAGCAGATAAAAACAAAAAACTTTATTAATCCCAAAGGGAAATTAATTTACGAGTATGAGAGGAGTATGAATGAACACAGCAACATGAAACAGATCAGCAGCAACATGAAACAGATCAGCAGCAACATGAAACAGATCAGATGTGATTTTTTCACAGTGATTATTCTGGTTAGAGATTCATGAGTCTAACAGCCTCAGGGTAGAAGCTGTTCCTCAGTCTAGTGGTTCTACACTTAATGCTCCTCAACCTCCTTCCTGAGGGGAGTGGGGCAAAAAGTGTGTGTGCTGGGTGAGTGGGGTCCTTCATGATGCAGGTGGCCCTCTTCCTGCTTCTGGAGGTGTAGATGTCTGTGATGGTGGGGAGGCTGACTCCAGCAGACTTCTGTGCAGCCTTCACCACTCTCTGCAAAGCTTTTCTTTCTGCAGCTGTGCAGCCTCCATGCCACACGATGCTGGAGCACAGGATGCTCTCCACTGCACACCTGTAGAAGGAGGTGAGGACTGAGCTTCCCAGACCAGCTCGCTTCATCCGCCTGAGGACGTAAAGTCTCTGATGAGCTTTCTTGATCAGGCTGGTGGTGTTGTTGCTCCAGCTGAGGTTGTCATTCAGGTGTACACCCAAGTACTTGTAGCTGGAGACCACTTCCACTGCAGATCTTCTTATGTTCGGGGGGTATAGATGTGTTTGTTCCTTCTGAAGTACACAACCATCTCCTTTGTCTTCTTCACAATGATGTGAAGGTTATTCTCTTTGCACCAGCTCTCCAGGTGTTCCACCTCCTGCCTGTAGCTGGACTCATCATTGTTTGTGATGCATCCAACTACCGCTGTATCATCTGCAAACTTTACAATGTGACAGCCTGGATGGGCAGCTGCACAATCATACATGAGTAGAGTAAATACGAGAGGGCTCAACACACATCCCTGAGGGGAGCCAGTGCTGAGGGTTATGGTGGAGGAGGAGAGGTTGTGGATCCTCACTGACTGTGGTCTGTTAAGAAGTCCAGGATCCAGTTGCAAATGGAGGGCCTTAGTGTGAGTAGTTTGTCCATCAGGGTCTGGGGGATCATGGTGTTAAAGGCAGACATGAAGTCCACAAAGAGCATACGGACATAGGAGTCCTTCTGCTCCAAGTGGGTGAGAGCAGTGTGGACCACAAAAAGTGTTGCTTTAACAAAAAACAATCAAAATAATTTGATTATTCACTTGAATGAATAGAGACTACACAAACATGAATGTAACAAGTTTAGGTTTAAATGTTAAATTTACAGCAATGAGCAATTCTGTTATTTCATCTTATATGTAGATTCAGCACAATCTGAACGTGTATAACTAAATTAATAAGGATTTTACCTTTAACAAGTTTACTTTTAAATATTCTTATTTTAGTTTAAAACTTTCATTCAATTAAGAAGATTAACAGAAACAACACAAATAACTTATTTAAGTCGAATGGTTTAATGTTCAGAACATTTATTCATCCTGTCTGTGTGAGACATGCTGTAATTCAAGTCAAGGTGGTGCACTGGCTGCACTGGTCCAAAGACAAGCTGTCCATTAAAACTGACCTGGACCCTGCATGTAACTGCTGTAAACAAAATCCAGCTACGCTCCTACACACATTCTGGACTTGTCTAAAGCTGTGGACCTATTGGCCAATCTATTTTTGATACTTTCTCTGGGATAATGAAAAATTACACACCAGTCACCATTCATCTCATTGAGTCAGCAAGTACAAGAGGAACATGATTGATTTGTCTCTTTGCTGGCCAGAAGACTTATTTTATGCAGATGGAAGGATCTGTGTCACCTGGCATACGAACACTGGATAAGAGAAGTCCTGTATCATGTTCATCTGGAACAGATCAGATATACTCTGAAAGGTTCTGTTGAGAGATTTTGGGACACTTGGCAGCCATTTATGTCTTATGATGAAAGTATGTCAATTAGGGGTGCACCGATAAATCTGCCCCGATTTCCTTAATTTTGGGAAATTGGCCGAAACTTGCACGAGAAACCGATTTTACAGATTTATTCTAGTTTTAACAACAACTGTCTGAACTTCATTTATATTTAGGAGCACTTCCTCATGGCCAGTTAAAACAAGTTTGTATTGTTTCTAGGATATTGTTCAAGAGTATGTTTTTCAATAAAAATAAGAATGGAAAATTGAAGGTGCGTTGTGACCTTATAACACCCGACAGTGCTGCTTATAAAACAAAATCGTTATCGACCAAAATCGGAATCGGCAGGTCAGACTTTTTAGAACTCTGTGATCGGTGCACCCCTAATGTCAATGCCTGTCTGATGTGTTCGTGTCTGTGTGGCTGATCCGGGCTGGGAGGGGATTTTGTTTATCTTTATTTTGTTTATTTTATCTGTGTGTGTGTGTGTTCTAAAAATGATAAAATTCAATAAAATGACAGATTTAAACAATGGTTTATCGTTATTTCACCGACGCGTTTGACTTAAAAACAAAAAAATTCGAACAAACGTGACATTTATTTAAAAAATAATTCAAAAATAAGATGAGTCAACCAACTGAGTCAACCCAGCCTAAATGAATTTAAACCAGTCATGGTACAGAGGTCTAAACAACCCTAATGCCTATCAGGGCCCGTCATATGACGTAAAAACAACACAATGACCTGATGCTGAAAGAAAGAGATTGTCAGACAAACATAACCAGAAGACAACAAAGTCCATGCTCAATAATCCAGGTATACAATCCAACATTTTTCAGTCAGGTCCAGATGACTTTGTTGTTTTCAACCAGTCTGACACGACCGTCAACAAGGAAGAGGGCCGGCCATGGAGGAGGGGCGTACCAAAGAGACCATCTAATCACAAGCAGAACTGGTTTGTTCCACTTTGGAGTAAGCTGTTGGGGGAAGAATCAGTTTTGTGTTGTGTATTTCCTTGACTGATGAAGCCTTCTGGATCGAAGGCGAAATGTTTCAGCACAAAAAAAGAAACTGTCCAGATGACCTGACTGAAAAATGTTGGATAACCAGAAGACAGAGCAATAATGCCGTCAGAGACTCAGAAAGAGTTTTGTACGTTGGTGTCTACAGAGTTATTTATTTTTCTTCTTTTGGCTGAACCTTCCTCAGGGGTCACCACAGCAAACCTGCACGTTTTACACCGGATGTTCTTCCTGACACAACCACAGACCACCGAGCTACCAGAGCCCTCTGTGTGGAGAAGAGAGCTGCTATCTATGGTGCTGGGGGAGCAGGGGGTGGGGGTTAAGGGCCTCGCTCAAGGACTGAGAGTGGAGCAAATGAAGGTGGAGGCAGGTGTGAGTGCTTCACCTTTCCCACCCACATTTATCATGTCTACAGATTTATAAAAAATGATAAGTTAGAAATTGAAGGTTTTTAGTTTGGGGATTGCTCAAGAAGACACCAAATTTTATCAAGAATTTGTTTTTACATGTTTAAAACTTGAAATGTATTAATGTCAAGAAAAGTATTTTTTAAGCAAACTAACCCTTTCATGCTTACTCACCTGTTAGCATCATAAATGAGCAGACACGTTGCCGTCGAACAATAAAATACAGCACTTGATTTATTAAACAACATCTAGTTCACTCAGAACAAACTAAAGTAAAACTACATCAAATGAGCGGTGATTACTGCTAATCAAACATCATGCTAGCAACAAAATCAACACAAAGTCAGTTTATTTCAGTACATGAGCATGCATCAGGATATTATTTCAGTACAGTTAATGAAATGTTCACATTAGGGACGCACAGATTTGCTCTGAGTCAGTTTGATCAACACTAGTATTTTTTACTCAGTTTTCTACACTGTATCCAAGCTGCTAACGTGGGCTAACAACAGCACATCCTTGATGTGAATGTTATCGATGAGGAAGTAATTATTTTGTAATTTCTGAAATGGTTTTAGGGATGTGACATGGTGACTCAGTTGGTAGAGGTGCTGCCTCTCAGCGAGTCACAAGTTCAAATCCCGGTCAGGGGGGCCTTTCTGGGTGGAGTTTGCATGTTCTCTCCGTGCATGTGTGGGTTTTCTCCGAGTACTCCAGTTTCCTCCCACAGACCAAAAACATGCATGTTGGACTGATTGGTAACTCTAAATAGTCCTTATATCAAAGTCTCTGGTTTTAGACCCATGGGCAGGCAGGTGAGGAGAGCAGGAGTTTAAAATAAAAACAATTTATTTAAACCACAAAAACAAAAGACGAGGCAGCAAAAAACTTATAGGCAGGCAGGTAAAAGACAAAACTGGACATCAGGTCCAGGACGGGACAGATCATCGGACAGACAGGAACAGAGGAGGACAGAGACATCTGAGTGTATACAGACCAACGATGAGACGGAGTAGTGAGGAAGAAAGGTTTCAGTAAGGCTGAGGGAGAGAGAGAGAATGAGCGCACCTGGATGAGTCTGATCGGAAACTGGTGTGAATGATTAGTGACTGGAGAGACAGGCCGAGACTAATGGACAGAGACCACAGTGAAAGACATAAGGAGCAGAATGACAATAAAATGAACAGAAAATGAAAATAAAGACCAAGGAAACACAAATCGACAGACTTGGGTGCAGCTCACTCTCAGACACCTTTTATTAAACAGGGGTCATGTAAACAAAAGTTTATCAGTTAATATTATCAATAGGTAATTTCATTGCAGATAAAATGAATACTGCTGCAGCTTGTTTTGTTTAAGGGCTCGTAGAGAAAGTGTTGCTTTGGTTGTATACTTTTATATTTAAGGTGTTTAATAACTGGCCTTAATCAAAATTGTCATGCTGGAGCATTCTACAGACCTGAAATCAATGAAAGAAAGAAAATAAATGATAATGATAATTTAAAATGCCTTGAGATTACATTTATACTATTATAAAGTGGTGGGGGAGTGGTGGTGCAGAGGCTAGAGAAGGTGGGCCTGTGATCAGAAGGTCACCAGTTCAACTCCCTGGACAAACAACATCAAAATGTGGGTGGGAAAGAAGGAACACTCACACCTGCCTCCACCCTCATTTGCCCCACCCTGGGCCCTTGACAAGGCCCTTAACCCCCACCATCTGCTCCCAAACAGCTTTCTCTTGAAAATGAGTCCTCGTGACTCAATGAGATTATCGGTTAAATAAAAAATAAAAAACGTAATAAACTTGATCTACTTGGTACTGTCAAACTAAACACAGAAATTAAAACAAGTAAAGACAGGCAGGAACGTTTCAGTAAAGACAGAGGAACCACACAATGAATATGTGGAATGGAGCAGCGAAGCAGCAGCAGCATTGTGGGCTGACAGACGGTGAAACACGGCTGATTTGTTGGTCACAGTAACTTTACCGACTGCGTGGACTCCAGAGAACCGGAGGACTGGGTGTCTCGGCTGTTCCGGTTCTTGGAGCGAAGACGTGGTGAAGAGGAAGGAGATCCAGAGAAGGACAGAGGCTTGTGGCGAGGCTGCTGCTCCTCACAATGCTCCGGGTCATAGCCATATGACGGAGGGTTTTCGATGTCAGGAGCGTCTGAGAAACAAGGCACAACAGTCACATGGTGAGCAAATAAAACTGCTAGGTCGTGCAGTTAACACTGAGGCATTATGGGAAACACACCAAAGTGAAACATCATGTCTTAGTTGTACTATGGCACCATGTCAGTGGAGAATAAAGTTAGTGGGACTAACGCCTAAAACATAACGGTAGGGTTTGGGCCAGTTAGTAAATTAAAAACATTTATGATGCTCTTTGGTGCTTATAAAGAATTTACCAAAACTAAATCTATACAAGCGTGCAGCACATTACACGCCTGCTGACGAACCACTGTACAGCAATCTAGAGAAATGGACTGGACAAGCAAAGACCTTGCATAACACTTGACCTTGATTGATTTATGACCTTGACCTTGGAGCGGGGGTGATGAAAAGTTTTAGTGATGATGCATACGAGTATGACGTTCTGTAAAATGATCTTGAGCAGATCATAAGGGCAGGACAAGTTAACATTTATGAACAGTACATCAAAATTCTGCGTGTCATTTTGTCAGAGTCCAATTAGATGCACAGAACTTTAGAAACAGCAGCACTGGAGGTTTTTTAACACTGTAAATTGATAAAACTGCTAAACATCAAATTACCATGTGCAAACGTGATAAGCCCTCTCATTTAAAGCTCGACTTTGTTGCTCTTCTTTATATATTATGCAACTTCTATAATTATTGATATTTGACAGTTCTGACCAATTTCTTGTATAAGATCTATCCAGCTGCATGAGGAGACACATGTTGAGACACAACAATAAACTTACATGTAAACAAGACAAACAGTTCACAGTAGGACAGTGGACTAAACTTTTATTATTTGACCATTTAAAAAGGGAATCACATTCTGGGGGTTATTTAAATAGCCCAGTCAAGCTCATACATTTATCTGAAAGTCTAAACATGTCAAATGCTGTGTGTCACCTGGAGCTCATAAGTAACACAATTAATAAATCAGCGCTGCTCCAACATGTAATACTTGGAAAACACAGAGCATGTGTCATATGGGACCACTGGAGGTGTGGCGTGTAACTCAACAGCCCTGACCGCTAACATCACATATAAAGGCTCAGTTCACACTACACTGCAGGAAATTAAAAAAACAACAAAAAAAAACAGATTTTCTGCTGCCTTTACACCTCCTGTTCACACACACAAGACTTCTTGGTGAAAAAACCCCCTACAGTATAACTATAGTTCCTATAAACCTATATGGCATACACATATGCACACCATCATCGTGTCCTAGAAACCCAAACAACAATGGTGCCGTCTACTGAAGGTTGTGAGTCTGTCTCAGTTTATCCTGACCCTGTCGCCATCACAATTTGGAGCGCTGAAATGGTTAATACCAGGCAGGACATTGCTGACTGTAAAAATAGTTTTGGAGAAACGTTGTTCAAACTATGAACATTCATCCCTGTGTTCTGAGTGGCCTTTAATGTGGAAGTTATCCCCACGTAGTGGCACCGCATTTTATCATTTTTGTTTGAACGTGTGCTTAGGCCTGTCACGATAAACAATAAATCAATTACTTGCATGATAAATGAAAATTATCAACCTCATTTTCATTTATCGGTTTTATCGTTTCTACGCGTCTCTCTTTCTACTGAAGACACTGGATGACAAAAGGCTCAACTCCGGTGCTCTTCACTGACTCCTGCCGTTCTCTTTTCTCCTTAAAATGTGTTTAAACTGTCCAAAATCGCATTATTGGATTGTTAAAAGCAGCTAAGCTGAGAAGCTAAGCTACGAGCTAAGCTAACAGGCCGATCTCGGGGAAAAAACCTCCGTCTTATCGAAGCTCCAAAATTCACAGTTGAAACCTGTGCCTTCGTGTAAAAAGTTGTTTTTCTCTGCAAAAAGAAGCTGAGAACTTGTTTACTGATTTTTTATTAAAAGCTTTGTGTGAAAAATGCTTAAGAGCTCAAACCACACCGTGCATCCACCATTTGAGAATCGAAAAAAAAAAAAACAGGAAGGAGAGACAGCCCATGTCACGTCAAGGGGCCTCCCTCCCATTTTTCTTAAAGAGACACGCTGCTTGCTCTCACACTATCCATCCTTCGGTTCAGTCTTATACTGCTATATGGTGTATTTTTAGTTGATGTTTTTTTCTTAGTTCATATCTTAGATGTTATTATTGTTTTTCTTTTACATTTTATTGTTGGATGTAACTGGGACCCTGTGTACATAATTTCGCTCCACCACATGTACGTGCGAACGACAAAGAATCTCTGACTCTGACGGTCGAAAAAACGGTACTACACGCAAAAATTAACCAACATTTCTTCTTAAATTGGACAATAATTACTAATTATTGTCAAATTTCAAACAATATTATTGTTCATCGCAATAATTTCAGAGACAATTTGTTAATGTGACAGGTCGACATGTGAGTGAAATGTTTGGGAATCAATTCTCATTTACAAACATGGCCTGGGAACAAACACAATCTGAAACGTGTGTAAAAAGTAGATTTTTAGATAATCATTCGTAAAAAATGGTTAAATATAACACGTATTTTCAGAGAAAATAAGTGTGGTTGATTTAACTGTAAGTAGAAGTAACTTGGACCTATTTTACACTTTTGTTTCTATGAATAGACTTAAGTATTTTACAAGCACAAGGAAACAAACAAACAAAAAAAACAATAGACCCAAGTAATCAAAGGAATTACGGTAAATGCCATTATTATTTTTTTAATAGGCGTCTTTTTGTGTTTTTGATCTAAAACAATTTAGGCAGTATTTATTTATTTTTTCTCCAAGGTATTGGTCACATTGTTGTTGTGTAAAAAAAAATCCTCAAAAAAACAACAACACTGTACGCTATTTTTAAATCTTAAAACAATATTTTGTGACCTGAATATACTTTTATTTTGACAATTATGGTCTGCACATGAAAAAGTTTGGACACCCCGATCCAAACTACGAGTAAGTAAGAAGAAACAGCTAAAACTGATAACATGTTAAAAACCCAGGGCTGTAGTGAGTGTGAGAAAGCTGCCATCACAATAGACCCTTAGTGAGAGCCACCATTGTAACATTCACAAGGACAGAGGAAGTGTCCAGGCAGGTCTGCCCGGAAAATTCAGCAATTCATCTGTTCCAGAGCGGAAACGGGCTTTCTACACAAGGTCATCGCTGTGCAAACAGTCCTCACTCCTTCGACGAACACACGTTTCTACGGTATTATTAAGCGCTGCATTGGTTTTAACATTCTCTTTTTGTTATGTTTCTCCTCAGAGTTTCGACAAAAGAAAATGGTTTCTGAAAAACCTTTCTAAATATCAACACTCAGATGTTTTTCCCACCAATTATGATCTCCCAAAAGGTTCTGCCCATCAGTCAGTCCTGTGCCATTTGTATAAAAATACCTTTTCTACACTGTTAAACATCAATCTTTATGCAGATGACTGTCTTTAGTTATACCACAAATGTTATGTATGCAATTGTTTTGAATCTAGGACTGACATTATTTATGTTTATTTTAAAATGTTTACAATTTTAAAGAATCTGCAGTTTTGAAATTCACCATTAAGCATATCATTAAAAGATGAGTGCCACATCAAAAAATACAACATCAGCGTTGGTTAAAAAAAAGCCAAAGCTGATGTTAATCAAGCAGTAAGTCAATGTCCCGTGTCGCTGAGGGATTTTGAAGAATGAATGTTTGTAGTTTTCAAGATTAATGTTTTTCTGGACTGGAACTAACAGGAAATGCAAGTAAACCTTAATGTTTTTAGTGCAAGATATTCAAGTGGGTAGGAGTTACACTGTGGGGTTAGAATAGAGGATAGTTTTTTTTTTTTTTTTTTGTCCAAGGCAGCACAGAGTGACGGATCCTGGTGAATGAAAGGAGCAATTTGATCCACAACTAGGCGCAATGATGAACTCAGGGTGAGCCAGTTGGTGTTGTTGGCCACCGTAGATTACTTTTCAGCCACCTGAATCATTTGAAGAAAACTATACTTTTAAGTGGCGGCATGGTGGCATAGTTGGTAGAGCTGCTGCCTCTCAGAGAAAAGGTCACGGGATCAAATCCCAGCTGGGGGCCTTTCTGGGTGGAGTTTGCATGTTCTCTCCGTGCATGCGTGGGTTTTCTCCGGGTACTCCAGTTTCCTCCCACAGACCAAAAACATGCATGTTAGACTGATTGATAACTCTAAATTGTTCCTAGGTGAGTGAGAGAGGGAATGGTTGTTTGTCTCGTTTGTCTCTACATGTGTCTCTGTGATGAACTGGAAACCTGTCCAGAGTGTCCCCTGCCTCTCACACTGACCCAGTGGGCACCAGTGACCCCCCGTAACCCAAAAAGGAAGAAGCAGATAAAGAGGATAGATGGATGCTTTTAAGCAATATAAAAACTAGAAAGCATAATTTCCTCAAATTATTGGGGTGGCCAGTTTACAGTGGGGCAAAAAAATATTCAGTCAGCCACTGATTGTGCAAGTTCTAATTAAAAAGATGAGGTCTGTAATTTTCATCACAGGTACACTTCAACTATGAGACAAAATGAGGAAAAAAATCCAGGAAATCACATTGTAGGATTTTTAAATAATTTGTTTATAAATTATGGTGGAAAATAAGTATTTGGTCAATCACAAACACGATTTCTGGCTATCACAGACCTTTAACTTATTCTTTAAGAAGCTCTTCTGTCCTCCACTCATTACCTGTATTAATGGACCCGTTTGACCTTGTTATCTGTATAAAAGACACCTGTCCACAGTCTCAAACAGTCAGACTCCAAACTCAAGCATGGCCAAGACCAAAGAGCTGTCGAAGGACACCAGGAAGAAAATTGTAGACCTGCACCAGGCTGGGAAGAGTGAATCTACAATAGACAGCAGGTTGGTGTGAATAAACCGACTGTGGGAGCAATTGTAAGAAAATGGAAGACATTCAAGACCACTGATAATCTCCCTCAATCTGGAGCCACACACAAGATTTCTTCCCCTGGGGTCAAAATGATCATGAGAACGGTG